GATGTATTAAGCAGGGATGATTCCAATTCGAAGCTTACAAACCAAATCTCGAATTAGAGCACAACCGATCGGCAACAACGGCGGCAGACAAAATGAGGGACAAAGCCTTCTTTCCTTTTTGAATGCCGTAGCCTTCGCATCAATTTCCGGGATTGACTACCAGAGAGGCATGGTAGTACTTCGGTTACCTATGTAAGGAAGGACGCGAACTTAAGTGCTCCGACAGTGTCTGTTCGAGGTTTATTGAAATTGGTATTGTTGTGTTTAAGTGTGCGGATACATATGTGAATCTATTTAATTTCGTCACTTGTTCAACCATTTCAGATTGCGTCTTTATAGGTCAATGATGCATATCTGTCAGACTTTCATTAAGAAGTTTGAAACTTTAGATAGCAAAAATTATGAAAACGAACGGAGATGGCAAACTTTTTTATGGCTTGCATGGCACGACTTACGATCTTTGTAAATATTGCAAATTAAAAATATAAGCCGCATCGCGACAGCAGTTGTGCACAAAAAATTTCTTACAAAATTTTGCTCTAATATCATACTATAATGTTTCGGATGAGAAATTGAGAGGATATACGAAAACTTCTGATAGACACTGTAAGTTTGCATAATAGCTAACAATTGTGTAAAAATAGAATACGCAGTAGTTTAATCATATAATTCATTTAATAGGAAATATTTTTATCGCCTTTTCTTTCTATAGTTTATGATCGCATTAAAAAATTGCGTTTTTCCATATATAATTTTCACGTTTGCAAATGTCTGGTCTGATAGCTTGATAAACGATGATGTTCTTTAATTGAAAATTTATACATATTTGTATGTCGCTCACCGGCACTCAAACCTCTCTCTATTGGTGATGCAAAATGAGAGATTTTTAGCAAAATTCAGAGAGTTTTAGAGAGTGCAAGAAAATGGCTGATGCAATGAAACTTGTACTTTTCATCATATTACAATCAAGACGCAATTTGGATAAAGGCTTGCAAAAACAAAAAAAAAAAAGGAAAAGAATTATATATAATTTTTAATGACATTTTGTTTATGTAAATTTTTGTTTTTTCTACGAAACATCTGGTATTTTAATGGTTGCATAAATATAAAATCCGACTTCGATGGCGTAGGGTGCTTTTGTAGGTCAACAAGACCTCGCATATTATTAATTAGACAGCAATTCCCAAAATTGCTTTGAGGGAATAAATTGAGTTTTTTTTTTTCAACAGAGGCAATCGAAGAGTTTTTAAAGGCAAATATTAAGAGGATGACTATAATTTTAGGGAACAAGGGGGCAAATCAACGCTATTCTAGCTTTTACATACTAATGATGTAATGAAAAGGTTTTACTTGAGGCGACGTCCATAAATACGTATATAAACATACACGTATACAATTGCTCAACACAATATTTTAAAGCGATTTCCATATATTCGTTCGTCGGTGTGAAGTAGTGAAAATTGAGATTGAAAGCATAAGCTTGTTCCAAAAGTCACATATAAAATTTCATGATGGGCTTTATGTGGCTGCGAACCAACAAAACCCACAAAGGCGGAAAAATTGTGGCCTAAACTTTGCGCAAACATTTACCAGGACGACTTACACTTTGAAGCATCTACGTAGGAAGACGCCTACAATGCAAGCTTTTGACAATTAAGGTATGTGGCTAATAAGAAATTTTTGGAGGAAACCCAGGTTACTGGCAAATACAGTAAAGTGTAGTTAGAAAGCAACCGGACCGACAAACTGACGCTTCCGGATTGCCGGATTGACAAAATACTTTACTAGTTTTAGTAATGGGCGAAGGGGGTTCTGTCAAGGGTGGCGTATGTAACTTACGAACACATACTTTTGTTTTACTCAGATCATTTTCGTCTCTCGTTTTTTGTGATGCTCCAATTTTTACAATCTTGATTAAGTTTATCTTTCAGTTACATTGTTCATGTTCAGTGCTTCTTCTGCTCGTTTCTTGTGTTCGTTAGAAGAGAGTATTAAACACAATTACAAGAGTACAACTTTGAAAAAAGGACAAAGATAAGTGAAGTCAGTGCATTGCAACTCACACAGAAAAAGATATCGACTTTAAAAAATTCTTAGCGATTTACGTTAGAGGAAAGTGGTTTATAAAAGAAAACCACTCGAAATTTGAAATTTTTGCAATAATTAAACCTATTGATGTATTGGTGTAAACTAGATGAGCATCTTACTTATTTGAATTTTGATTTCATATGTATGTATATGTGATTCAGTAAGCATAGGCTTTTCCCACTTTCTAAACAATCGTTTTGGAAAAAAATTGCATTTTTTTTTTACTTAATTGGAAAAATGTTAATGCCAGCGCTACATATGTGCGTATGTGAATTTTTCTTTACCGGCCTTTAAATATATTCCGCAAAATAAAACCTGAAATATTTCAACTTAAAAAAAGCACACGTGAGCGCAGTCAGGTTTTATATTCAGTATGTGAGATTGTATAGCTAACGGACACCTAAGCAAAGACAGAAAAGGTGAATTAGTTTGATATTAACCTTTTAAGACCGTTAAGAAATACACAAGCATCTAACATAAGCCTAAACATCCGAACACCACAACACACTTAATTATATATGAAAAGTTAGTATTTCAACGGGCTCTAGATTTAAGAAACGTTTCAAATTACAGTACATCAGCAAAGGTATGGTCGAAGACTCTGTAATCGTGTAATTCGACTACTCTGAATTTCCTATTTCGACTATTTTTGATGCTCCGATTTCGGCAAAAATTATATAAATTGACACAAATTCTTTTTTCGAAAAACTTTTTTCAACGGAAAACATTCTTTTGTTAAATGGTTTTCTCAAAGGGCCCCACTGCCGCACGAGATGCGAGATCAATACGTGGAAGTCAAGAAGATGCACTCGCATACTGAAAAAGACATTGCATCGCATGATTTACATGCTGAAAATATTCATTCGTCATTCATTGCGCTCTTTAAATATGAGGCTAGAGAATGGGTTTTACACAATTCCAATGTAAATCGATGATCAATTGCAGTGTCATTGCTTTGCCTAATATTATTATTATTATTATAACTAATGTAGCCAGGGAAGTAAATTCAAAAGCTAGTGTTTGAAAGCCTCAGCATCTGAAACTATCGGCTTTATTGATGAATCTGCCGCACTTCAGATTTGAGTCAAAGACCATTGGGTTGTTTGCCGACATTCTCAGTCTACTTGGTTCTCGTTAATTTAACCTAGTTGAGTTAATAACCTATTTTAGCTTATCCTACTTATTTGTCAGTCATCACAATGCAAATGTTGTCTAGTCTAATGTAAGCTTAGCTATAACTTCATTCTGTTAAAATTTTAGTTTTAACCTAGTTTAGCCAATAGTGTAGCTCAACTAATTACCTAGTTTTGAGTAACTTCAGAATATTCTTATACAAAAACGTAAGCTCATTTATGTTGAGCTATACAGCAAGTAGTTCTGATAAGTATTAATCAATACTCGTAATTCGTAGAGCGATTTGAGTAATTTATAGCATGTCCACGATTTAAGTCGAAATATGACATTTATAAAAAATTTCGAAATTTATCATAATTAAATCATAATTGCGATGAAATCACGAGTTTACATCTCTGCACTTGGTGATCGCGGCAATTGCTTTAAATATCATCGATTATAAATGTAAGCCTCTGGAATGTACAAGGTGTGCTCAAACAAACAGGTTCATCAATATGTATTTTATCCACTTCAAACTAATCGCCCGTGGATACAATAGACTTGCGCCGGCGCTGTTTCCAATCCTCAGAGCACCTCTGATATGCGTTTTTTGTCCACGAGATCTTCATCTCCTTAATCGGAGCAAAATTTTGTTCTCTCATGGATCTTTTTAGCTTTGAAAGTAGGAGAAAGCCGCAGAAGAGCAAATTCAATGACGTGTAAACTGACGCACTATCGTGGCGCGTGGTGGAGGACGGTTTGTGTCACCTTCCTTGTGTGTGTGTGTTTAATCAATAAGTTGTTGGGGCTTAACCGAATCTGGTTTACTTCTAAACTTCTTTCTTTTCGTTTGCTTTCCAGTCCCCTGTCTTTTACTTTACTCATAAGCGGAGAAGAAGACAAAATACTGCGAAGCATAACAAAACTATGTGTAATGTAAAGCGCGGAAAATCGGGTACTGCGAAGAAAAGACACTCGTTCCAGCAGACAGCAACTTCAATTCTCAACGACGAGTTAAAGAACCAAGGATACGAATGTTGAACTCATCCTTCAAAAAAATCAATAAAATCAGATTATAAGCTATATACGATATTATAAGATGTACATATTCATGGTAACGATATCCACGTTAAACGATCCAAAAAAAAAAAAACTTCTCAACTAAGCGAAAGAAACGCCTGCAAAAGTTAAGGGGTTAATGTGAGCAAAGCTGAGAGTTGAATTCGCACAACCAACATCCGATTAAGTGAGTAGTGGAAAAACCAGACGGTAATGTGTATAACAGCTGGGCAGACCAGTTAAGCACATGTATCTGGTCGGTGGGAGCAGAGTTCATTAGAATATTTTTAACTGAAACTGTAGGCTTTTGAGTATTTAAATAACTGGTTAACGACAGGAGAGAATTAGTTATTATTGAAAACGCTTAAGCAACGTTTCGCTACATGCATTTGATTAAATATAATCTAAAAGGGGATCATAAGAGAATACATACAAGAAAGCAATTCAACTTTTTTTTTTCCTTCAATTAATATAAATAAATAATATTTGTATAAAAAAGCAGTGGAAAGATTGGTGTCAATGTTTGGAACCTTGACGAGGAAATTACATAAATCATTACTGTAAGTTGAAATGAAAAAAATGAGAGAAACAAAAAAAAAAATCAGATAAAAATTATTTAACATTTAAAATAATTGCAGTTTAACTACTGTAAGCCAGAAAGGCTCTCGCACTGGTAACTCGGCTAATAATTTAGAGTTGGAAGTTCTCACCTACATACAATACGTACCGTGAATTTTTTTTTTTTTTTTTTTTGTATACTACGAAATTATTGGACTTTTGGTTTTAAAGATAATTATACAAGATTTTGTTAAACGGTTTTTAAGCAACGACAACAACAACAACAAGAGCAGTAACGACAATATGGTTTATACGAATCGTACGGAAAAATGCAACTCGTCTACCGAAGAAACGGTAACCACGAAGAGTGAAAAACACTTTAAAGATCAGAAGAATGGAAACTACAGCGACAGCAACAAGAGCAGCCAATCGACGAGTGCTATTGGGGCGAATAATGCTTGGTCTAAGAATGCCGCTGAAAGCGATAAATGGAAGTTTAATAACATGATCAAGAATAACCGGGACGCATTTAATAGCTTGCATTTTAATTAGTTTTGAAAGGCGGTTTGCCTAAAACATACTTTAAACATCCCACCTTACATTATACAGATAACCTTTGCAAAGTGTACGAACGTGAGTTGTTTCTTAGCGAAAAATTGCTTGGAGAAAACAAATCATGTTAACTACATTATGCAACGTGTGCCTGTATCAAGCGGACCCTCTCAATCACTCTCATCATCGATTTAATTTCCACCTAAAAATTATTTTCTGTTCTAATGTTCCCATCAATATTTAGGAATAAAAAAAAACAATTGTCATAAAGAACATACTCTTGTTTTTGCTGAGACTATGGCATTGGCAGAATCGTAACTTCTTCGCTCTTGATCTCTTGATTTAAGGGGCTTGTACCAATGTCTTATGATCTCTTTCTTTTAATATTTCGGTATTTTAATATAAGAAGTAAGTAGTGCCCAATTTCTTTTCTCTCTTCGTAGCAGCTGCCTTAAGGTCAATTTTAACATAAAGTGCAAGATTTTTGACTTAAAGAGTAAAACGATGAAGATTTGCTGACTGAGAGCTCATGTTTAATTAGTTTTGAAAAAAACTTTAGCGATTCACTAAAACCTGCCGAACTGACATTAACAAGAATCCATTCAGGTTCATTATTAAACAGAATTCTGATATAGCTCTTCATGAGAGAGCAGCGAGATTAAACGTAACGCAATCAATCTATAATTAAAATTCATTGAAATTCATATTCAAATAGATACGATACGTAATAATATACTGGAAAAATAAACCCGCACTTACTGGCTGTGTGCATTTAAAGGGCGATGAACTTGACCTTGTTCGCAAGTGAATCATCACAGGTGAGGAGAAATGAGTCATTAACCAGCTAGACCTATGATACAAACAATAACAAAATCGATTGTAAATCAAGTCAAAAGTTGACGTACGGGGTTTGTTTACACAAAAGGGAATTTTTTATTTCTCTCGAAAAATATTTATTTATTCATCAGTATCTGTTATATCCCCTTCAAAGTAATCTCTCTGAAGTATAATATGCTTGTGCCAGCGTTTTTCCCAATTCTCGAAGCAGTTTTGATAAACGCTTTTTGGCATGACCTTGAGCTCTTTCAGCGACGCGAAATTTGAAAAGTCATCTTTTCTATAACACACCTCGTATAGTAAAAGAAACTTAACATTATGAGGAGCCGTTCTTTTGAGTTTTATACAGCTGCGAGAACGCATTGAACCACGTGTACCTGAATCAAAACGTTTTTTTTTTCTTTATTAAATTTGTTTTAATATGAAAATTAATGAAAGCTTCCCGGGTTTATGATCGCGTTAGTCAACTGTGTTCACAACATACCAAAGATCAAGATTAAAAGAATGTCATCTTGTTATGCCAGGCTTGCGGCGTCGACTGGCCTACGTGCCAGCAAGCAACATAGAGTTTCTATGATAATGCATAGAAGATCCAAGCCTCATCAACAGTTAGCAGAATGTCCATAAGCCCATGGCCCACACCCATTTTGTATTGCGGTACCTCAAGGTAGCGAGGCCCACTTCAATGAGTATTGTCTTTCTCGTTGGGTGGTCCTCAATCTAGTGACGTACTTGCCAATGGTTGTAGGCAACCCGTCTGTCCATAAGCCATTCGGCACTCTACTCTTGTAAAAGTGATTGGACATAATTGTCTCCTTTTGCTTACGAAGGCGTAATTTGATTAAATATTATACACAAGATCATAAGTCAGTCAAAGAAAGCTGTTTCGAAAGATATCTCTTTATTTCAAGAATTTTGCGCTGAAACCGCTGCTTACCAACGCATACATACAACCTACTAAGTAATTATACAGTTCGCGTGGTAGGTTGCGCTACTTTTTCCAAAATGCCCTAATTTGAATCCAGGCCAGAGAAAGGTTTGGAAAATTCAACGTCTGTGAAGCATTTTTTCACTAATGTTAATGGGTTCAGGGCATCAATAATCGTATGAGTGTGAGGCTATCAAGTTACGTTAAGCAATGGCAAAGGCTATTTTTCCTTTATTACTTTCTTACCAACCTGTTAAATTAACGACTGCTATAGGGAGACATTTGTACTCAATTAAAATTAATCGTTTGCTACAATTAAGATATAATATTGTCAACACTTGCCACCTTTTTGTTGTTGTACATAAACTAACCCTTGGAAAACTTGAAGCATACGTGTATACGTGTGTACGTTGGCAATAAACCTCATAATTTCTTACGCTTTTCAATACGTCAAACTATGTACAGGAGCTGTTAAGACACACTCCCTTCACTGCTGCATCCCATCATTATCAGTGAAGCATAACCTTTTTTGCTTTATCTTGGATAACTTTAGACGTTATTGTCCTTTTTGGCCTTAATTTTTGTTTTTTTTATTTTTTTTTTTATGTTATGTTCATAAACACGTGACCTTTCGAATGGCATGTTTCATCTTCGCCTTGTTCGTTTTTTTTTTTTTTAAAACTTTTTTTTTGAACAAGTGCATAAAACCTCAAAACGCCCCCATTGCTATTGATTACCTTTGAAATGTTATTTTAAAATTTTTGCAATAAACATTGTCACTCACATTATCTGTCCATTTGTTTGAGAGCACGAACAACACTGCCACAGAAGACGGACGGGCACGTGCTTCTATAGTGGCTTAAAAGTAAGTTCAAATTTATTCATTGTAACAAAGAGTGTGAAACTCTATTTGCGAGTATTACGAGCTTGAATATAAAATCAATTTTTATTTAACGCCATATTGTTGTTAATAATGTTATCAATTTATCAGCAACATATGCAAAATGTTTCTCATGTTGTAAACGGCAGAGATTGATGAGTGCGAAGAGACAAAAAAAAAACAAAAAAGGAAAAAGAAAAGAAAAGGGTTACAACAGCAGACACATTGTTATCATATTCTTTAAAAGATAATGCAAGCAGCATAAGCGAGTTAATATCCATTTCCTACATTTTTTTGACCCACGCATGCGATTCAAGTAGTAACAGTAAGTTGCCTCATTTCATCGCTAACATCAACGAACAACATAAATACAGTAAATATATTATATAAATTTTGTTGACAGCAAATATATTTGATATTGTAAGAGTGTCCATCTTTTCAACACTTTTTCTCATTTTGACAATTGCAAAATCTGAGATTTTCTAGAACATTTGCGTGTGCATGACATTTGGTCAACGTAAAGCCCGCAGTCGACTTATCTATGTCGGCGTATGCGTTCACTATTTCTTACAGCAAAGGGTCGTAGTTTGGATATGTATTTTAAACTTGGTACACATGTTTTCAATTAATATTTAGAGGTTAAGTTTGAAAAGGGGTCCAACCCGCGGACAAATGCATCTACAACTGACACATGCGGCAGAAATTCATGAAAACTAAGCGATAAAATTTAATTTATCAAATCCCGTCAAAAGAGAAATTCCTTATGCATATGTGATAAGAGGAATAACTGAGTACAAATAAGATAAGAGCGGTAAAACCCGTATGACATATTTTCATAAACACCGCCACCAGTTATAAAGATGTACGAGTGTATTCCTTCTCTATCTAAAAACATCCGCAAAGACAATTCAAGCATCACGTAAAGAATACATATTCTTGATCAGCGCCAGATTTTTGGGCGATTTAGTCCTGCCTACTGGTATGCTCGTCCTTCGGTCCCTTCCCATGTTCACTCGTGTGTCCGGTCGTTCATCTGGCCTGCTGTGCAACCGTTTGACATACCGCCAATCTGGCTGACTGAGATCTCTTGTCCGACTCTTTGATCGGTCGTCTGTCCGTACATTTGTACATTCGTCTTTTCCAAAGTTTGTCTGCCCGCCTGCTCAACAGGGCTCCCGTCCATCCGTCTATTCTTCCATTTTCCCATCCTCTATGTATTTAACGGTATTTTCGTTCGTCTCTCAGGCTATCGCACAGTAGCAGATCGTCTCTTGCAAATGTCCTGGCAGTAAGGATTAATGCACCAAAACTTAAAATTTACTGCATACATGTTAACTAAAGCGCTTCTAATAAATGAAAGCTTAAAATAGATTTTCAATGCAAGCTATCGGCCTACATCTACGTGTACCCATATTCACGATTATATGCTGGAGACAAAACGAAAATGATTCGGGGCGGGCCGATTAACGTGATCGCAATTCACAAACAAGTTTGCGCTTGTAGTGTGCTCGCTTGAGGTGATGCGCATCCAAGATTCGCTTCAAAGCATAAGAAAGTTATACGCGTTTCTTTGTTCAAATATGGGAGGAGGAAAAGAAGGCGCTAAACTTCTATCAGCTGCAATGAATTAGAATCACTTGAAGGGGCGGCGCGTGGAAAAGCACGTAACACTTTGAAGATATTTCAATATCTATTTTAAAATACATTTAAAAATGAATAAAAGACAGCAGGCGGCGTAGGTTGCATCCCACAGTAAAAAGAAAACTCGCTAAAGTATTCCCGTTTCTCGAGTATGTTTTTTCTGCCTACCATCTGTCGGAAGTCACGTTGACAATATTATTGTATTCATAGTCTCTACCTATGCATGTAGCTCGTGCTAAAAGATGTTAAAATGGAAATCCACACAAATTAATCTTTGTTCCTTTACCGCTTATTCTATTTCTCCCTCTCTTACTCCTTTGTTGAAATTTGAGTTTCGCCAAATGTTAAGAATAATATATTATTTTGACATCGTGAATTTGTTTTTTTTTTTGTTCCTATATTAACTGTTTGTTGATGTCATGTTATGGTATGTTGTTGCAAGACATACCAGCGTTTACCATCATTTTTTCAGTTGGGTATTGTATGACAGATTATCAAATGTCTGATCTTGATAAAATATGCATAAGGGTTGAAAAAAATTCGAATGTAACGAATTGCAAATTATTAACTTCCTCATCATCGTCAGCGTCGTCGTCGTCGTCGTCGTCGTCGTCGTCTGTTTATTTTTGCCCTTTAATTTACGGAAGCAAAGCATATGCTAAAGTAAATTTATCATTTCACAATGAATCGTGGAACTCATCTGCAAATGTAAAAACTGATTTCATCAGGCGTTTGCTAAATGTGACAACAAATTACGTCTCCATTGTGCACTTTTAACACAAACGTAATAATTGATTATTATTACGTTTACATTTTTTTAAAAAAATTAACCTCAACATTTTTATAAACACTTTTGTGTGCTCTTTGTATAATAAGTATCCTGTTAAAGAATCCCTGCATGTGACACTTGTAGTGCTTTTAACGCAAAGGCCACCTGTGGTGTTGTTTTAATTAGATTCTGCACCCACGTAATTTCTCTACCTTCAC